AGCTGAGAGCAACAATAACGACCCACAAAACTGCTGTAAAATGGCTTTTCCCCCAACATTGCTGGGAATTTGCTCCTGAACCCCTCTGTGGTTCCTATCTGCCGGTTCTTCATGAGGGATAGGTAAAAAAACATCCCTTGAGCCACTTTCCAGCTGGAAGAATTCCATTGTGGTGCCAGGCTGTGTTTGCACCTTCAGTCAAGCACTGACCCCCCCAAATTTGGGGGGCAATTGGCCCCCAGGGTCCAGCTGCCCATGCCCACTGTGTCCCATCACGCTGCTCCCAGGGCTCTATGTGTGGTGGGGCCTGTCCTGCACAGCTCTCCAGCAGCTCTGCAAAGAGAGCAGTGAGCCTTTTCCAGGAGAGCCTCTCCACCCCAGCACTGTTTTAGGCTCAGACCATGAGGTGGATGGGTCTCTGCTGCTGGTTTTAGGAAGGCTTGGTTTCAGGACATGTGTTTACCTGTGTCACTGAACACTAGGATCAGTGCAGAACCTCTTCCAGCAGCACCAGCCATGCTGGGGGAATGTTCTCTCCTCCTGGACATCTTTTCCAGCACCTCTTGTTCTTGCAACTCACTCAAAGCCTCTTGAGTAAGACCTCGGCTGTTGGGGTTTTTTTTCAATCTCTGTCTTATTTACTATTCTCTAGGCAGTCCCAGAGGGAGGTGCAGAAGAGGAAATGAAATTTGGCAGAAAGCTCAGCATGTCTGTTCGAAGAAAGCCATCAGTGGGGTCAGCAGCAGCAGAGCTGCCCCTGCCAGAGCTGACCCTGAGGGGTTTTGTGGCTTTGCTGTGATCCCCCTTCCCTCCCTGCACGTCTGGGAACCCACAGCACACGTAGGCCAGGCCGATGGGTTAATTTTAACGCACTGTGATGTGTTTATTTACGGTCTTCATAGATGCAACATTGTTGGCCATAACAAGATGCTCCTGTTTCAGGGCCCAGCTGCCTTGCAGTGCCTTTGCAAGCACCATCCTGAGGGAGGGGGATGACCTTGGAGGCTGCAAACATCTCCCAAAAAAACCTGGGTTCTGTGGGAGCTGGGAGGAAACGAGTGTCACCTCCATCGCCCTGATGCTCCGGAGCCCTGAGGAGGAGGGTTGGGGAGTCCAGGAGGGAGGAAACGAAAGCTGGGCTAAAAAAAACCGACCCAACTGCTGGTGGAGGAGAGAAAACACACACCCAGCTGGCCAAAGCCACAGAGCAAAGCCCTCTGTGCACTAAAGCAATGTGGACAAGTGTCACTGTTTGCAGCTGCTTCCAGACAGCACCATGAGCATCAGGTCCCCTCCAAGGGCCTCTTCCCCAAACTGCACCAGCCCTGGGCAGCAAAAGTCCCCTGTGCCCTGTTTGCACCCACCTGGGAGGTCTCTTTGAAGGGATTAGTGGGCAAAGGGTGGGAAGTTCCTCTCTGAGCTCAGCACCCACCCACGAGCACCTCTGGGGTGGCAGGAGGGGATTCATACAGAGCACTGAGGTATGGATAGAGGTACAGCATGAGGAGAAATGGCCTCAAGTTACACCAGGGCAGGCTTAGGTTGGATATTTGGAGACATTTCTTCCCTGAAAGGGTGGCCAGGCATTGGGAACAGGCTGCCCAGGGAAGTGGTGAAATCCCAGGCCCGGAACTGTGCAAAGAACCTGTGGATGTGGCACTTGGGGGTGTGGGTTAGTGGTGCTGGGTTTACAGTCAGACTTGATCTTAGAGGGCTTTTCCAACCTTTTTCCAGCCCCAACTCCCACCTCCAACTAATCAACCCTATTTTGAAGCTCCTTGGCTGCTGGGAAGGTACCAATGGGTACCACCTCCCTGACCCCATTGGCACCATGAGCAGAGGCTTCATTCTCCAGCTGGGTTGGCTTTTGCTGCCCCTCATATACCCTTCAAAGTTCCTGATGGTCCTGAATTAGGGCATCCTGGAGGGAAAATGTAGCCACCCTGGGAGGCAGCAAAATCAGAGCTGCTTCCACGGAATGTGCCTCCTGTTCCCATGGGATGTGCCCCCTGCATCACACAGGGCACATTTCTGCCTCCCAGTTAGGTGGCTGGGCATCTTGCCAGCCAAGAGACCACGAGAAGTGATCAAGTCACGTTGGATCAGGGCATCAGTTTGCACTGGCACAGATTTGGATGAACATTCACCCTCTCCTCTCCCACTAGCCAACCCAGGCTCAACCCGACAAATCTGCAAACCTTCCATCCTTTCTTCAACTAAGACTTTAAAAAAACAAGCAATGAAAAGAGATTTGATAGATCCCATCTTGTCTCAAGCCCTTCTGGTGCCTCCCTGCGGGTTTTAGCTGCACCCATGGGTGCAGCAGCACAGCAGGGCTCTGCCATGGCCACCCAGCTCCTCCCATTCCTGTATCACATTCCTCCCCGCTAGTCAACATGGAAATGTTTTGAAAGTGTCTTAGAAACCTGCCCTGCTGCCAAAACAGCTGAAAAATGAAGCCGTGGAGGGAACTGTGGGGCCGCTTTCCAGGTCGGCTCACACGGGTCTCGCCGCCGTGTTCTGCTGCGAGAATGGGATTTTCAATGGGATTTGAAACATCTGCCTCTTCCTTTGGCTTCTTTGAGCCGCTCTGGAGCTGAGAAATGGAGATTTGGGGGCAGGGAGGCTCTTGGTTTGGGTGCCCTGGGTAATATGTGAGCATCGCCTGCGCGAAGGGCAGGAATCAGGAAGGTGGGTCAGGGTGGGTGCCCTTCACCCTCGTGCCCAGAAGAGTGGGAAAAGGTGAGAGAAAGCAAAAGGAGAGAAAGGAAAGGCTTTTCCTTGCAGTGGGCAGTGAAGCCGGGAAGCTGCTGGGACTTCAACCAGGCTTGGAAAAGGTCTGATGGGAAGAGGACTCTCCAGGGGACCACTATCCTGCTCCAAACAAGCTCTTAGAAAAACATCTCCTCTTGCCTGTGGAAGCATCCAGCAACCAAAGCACTCCGGAGGTCGTGGCCATAATTAATCACCCTTGGAGATGGAAAAGGCGCCTTCCTCTTGTTTTTGAGCCTTTTGGCTTCATCTTGTGGTGGAAGAGCTGCGGGTGTTCAGTCCTTGGAGGACCAGGCTGGGGGAGACGGCGCCAGGCAAGGGCTGCTGAGCAGCAGCAACCCCCCCACAGGTCACAAACAAGCCTCTGGAAATCATCCACAGCTCCATCCATCACCCCTGGACACCGTCCCTCCTTTGGAGGGAGCCAGGGTGAAGAATTTGGGGGATGAAACCAAGGTGCTGTGGGCCGGTTAACCCAACCTTTGCCCAAGAAGTGCTTCCCAATCCAGGAGAGCTGAGCTTAACTGGGCACCCAGGGCACTTCACCTCACTCAAGAGCTCTGCCCAGGCATCTCCCTCTGCGCAAGCAATGAGTTTGTCCTTCCTCCTTATCAGCCCCAAATAGCTGCGACGTAATGTATTGTTTTCCCTCCTTAAACAAATTACATCAGAAGGAGGAAACAGGCATATTTTTTTCCCTTTCTTTTCTGGCATGGATGTCCATCAGCAAGATCTGTGCAGCCCCATTTCCGTGCCAGGCCTTCATATCCTCCTCCTCAGCCGGCTGCTGCTTTCTGCTGCTGAATAATAGATGGCATTGGTGCCCTTCCCCTCCTCCATCGAGGGCTTTGTGGTCCTCTCCCCGCCATATCCGAGGAGCCCCTCCACGGAATGAGATCCAGCTGGAGCAGGAGGATCTGGCTCCCACCCAGGGCCGCAGATGGGGAATGCACGGGGGAACCCACGGCTGTGGAAAACAATGGGGCCACCTGCATGTGAATCAGTGGGGCTTGTTCTCCAGCCCCAGCCTGGCCAGGGAACCTCCAGCCCCTCCAGATTTGGAGCTTTGTTGCCCAGGTGAGTGAGCCCCACTGGGGAGATGGGGTTGGACCTTGGGCAGCAGTCACCTGCAGGGAGAGGGTGGTGGCCCTCCAGAGCTTCCTGCGGCTTCTTGGGAGGCTGTGTTGTGCCAGGACACAGCAGGGACAGACTCCAGAGATGATATGGGGGCCATAACCTCCCAGTTCATACCCACAGTACCCAAACTTGATATATTTCCTAGAAATTTAGGGCAGGCTACAAAGGTGGGGGGGAGGCCCTCCACAGCTTCCCAAAGCTTCTTGGGAGGCCTTGATGTGACAGGGATGAATGGAGGCAGATCCCAGAGCATCTCCACAGGGTGTTGAGGGGATATGGGACACACAGCCTCCCAGCTAACACCCACAGAACCCAAACTCTATTTCCTAGAAATGCAGGGCCCTTGAAGGACTTCTCTTCCACAGGATGGTCCAATACCCCTTATGTTTCTGTAGATGTTTTGCATCCCAGCAGAGGGATCCGGACAGGTCTGCTCCTCCCTGGGGGAGCTGGAGCCCCGTTTGTGGCTGAGTCCAGCCCCCCGCAGTTCCCAGCAGAGCAATAATAAACAATGTCCTTTGTAATACCCACAACTTGCTGTGAAGGAGTTTGTTTTCTGCCTCTTTGCGGTATCGCCGTCCCTGGTCCCGTCCCCGGGGGGGATTTAGGGGGCGATCATCCCTCTCCAGTGTCAGTCCCAACCCTGATGACATCCGTGCTCCATTCCTGTAGGATGGGGGGTTCCTGCCTTAGCCCGTACCCCGGTCCCGTTCCCGGGGATCAAGGGAGGAGCGGTCGGTGCCTGGTCCCGCTCCCAGCCTCGATCCCATCCATGCTCCCATTCCCGGCAGAGGGAGCGGGGGGCTCCTGCTCTAGCCCTAATCCCGGTCCCATCCACTGTCCCATCCCGGCTCCTGTTCCGATCTCAGCCCCTGCGGGGGGTGTCCCGTCCCTGTCCCAGCCCTAATCCCACCGTGGCCCCATCCCGGCAGGAGCATTCCTGTCCCGGCCCGGGGGTGGGGGCGGTCCCAGCGCTGATGGGGGCGGTCCTGGCCCCGGTCCTGCCCCGTTCCCAGACCCGTTCCCAGCGCCGGGAGGGCGGTGCGGCCCCACCCCCGACCCCGTCCCGGCTCACACGCGGCGTCGGGACCGGGACAAGGAGCGGGGCAAGGAGCGGACCGGGCATGGCGCTGCCTCCGCCGCCCTCCTGAGCGGGGCCATCGGCTCCGGCACCGACCCCGGCACCGACCCCCAGCTCGGCATCGCCCGGTGAGCGCGGTGGCAGCGGCCGGGGGGACAGTGGGGGGATAATGGGGGGGTAATGGGACCATGGCGGGACAATGGGGGGGGGGGGGGGGGGGGGGGGGGGGGGGCGACCCCGGGGGGCGGGGGAGAGCGGGGACATGGGTGGGGGACACACGCACAGACGGGTGGGACGCACACGTGGGTGGGGGACACGCACACTCACGTACACACATAGGTGGGACACGGACACACGGACACACCGACACACGGACACACTGATATACGGACACACCGACATACGGACACACCGACACACCGACACACTGACACACCGACACACCGACACACGGACACACCGACACACGGGCACACCGACACACGGACACACGGACACACCGACACACCGACACACGGACACACCGACACACCGACACACCGACATACCGACACACGGACACACGGACACACCGACACACCGACACACGGACACACCGACACACGGACACACCGACACACCGACACACGGACACACGGACACACCGACACACGGACACACCGACACACGGACACACCGACACGCCGACACACGGACACACCAACACACGGACACACGGGGTGGCACTTGCTGCGGGGTGGGTGCCACGGGTGACAGAGAGTCCCCACGCACCCAAAGTGGGGAGCGGGACACTGCACGGGCAGGGCCGACCCCCGTTTCTCTTCACATCCCACAAACTGCCTGGACTACCACTCAAACTGCCTCAAAACCCAAAAAAATTCCCCCAAGCCGGGGGGTGGGAGCAGCAGCCCGCACTGAGCCGCTGGCAGGAGTTGCCGAGCCGTGCACTCGAGGAAGCTCCTGCTCCCTTTGCTCCTCTTGGCCTGATTCATTTGATTTTTTATGCATTAATTCACGATCATCTCTTTGCCGCTCGGTTTCTCCCCTCCCGGGGGAATTCACTGGCTGTTTATCCGGGATTTCCCGTACACAGCTCTGCTCAAAGCCGTGGAGCTCACTCCCTGCTTGCTCCAACGTGTGTTTTTCCACCTCTTTGCATGCTTGGGTCCCTCTTTAAACTGTTTAGGGGTGTTTTAATTCACACTGGAATGGGTGACGCTCTGATTTCAAACCCTTTGACTCCTTTTAGCAGCTCCTAACCCCCAAAACGCCCTTCTTTCCCCCCAGACACCCTTCTTTCCCAGAACTGGGCACTGCCTGGCATCACTGCAGGAACAACTTTAGGGGCAAAACGTCTTATTTCTCTTTCTATTCCAGTTTTCTTATCGGGTTCTTGCAAAACCCATTTGGCAACCCACTGCCTTCCTGTGCGTGAGGTGAGGAGCAGCAAACCCTGCTCTTGTGGGGCCACTGACACTGGGGGATGGTGCCCCTGGCTCAAGGTCACTGCTGCCAAAATTGGGCTCTTTTGTACCACCAAATTCCGCTTATTTCTACTCAAGCAAAGGGAACTTCAGCCTCGGTGCCTGATGGGTTAGGAGGAGACCCCTAAATATGCCAAGCCTTGAAACACGGCCGTATTTTGGGGTTTAGTGGTTTCTAAAACCCCCAGAAGTATTTTGGACTGTCATGGCACTGAGTGACTTTATCCTGTCTCTGCCCAGTGCGATTTTTATCTCCGGCTCTTGACATGGAGCCAAAGCCATGAATAGTTGGCCGGCACTGGAGCGTGCTGGAGCCACACCGGGCTCCCTCCTCCCTGCTCAGCACCCCTCAGGAAACCAGGCCACGGAGCAAAGACCCTGTGGCTTCCATGGAGGAGAAAATCATCCCCCAAAGTCCACGCCGTGGTGATGCTTTGGCTTCCCGGTGACTCTGGTGCCGTGGTGGAGCCTGATAATTGTGTTATCTGAGGTCTCTGGTTATCTCCCAGAAGTTTGGGGTTGCCAGGGTGGTTGTGGGGTTGCTGGGTGGCTCCCTTGGGCTGGTAGGTCTCCGTGGAAATGTCATTTCTCCCAGATATGGAGCTTGGAGGGGAAAACAGTCATCAAACAGCAGGGGGTTGATGCAAACTGGTCCCATGCTCGTCTGGGGGTCCAACTGTTGCTTCCCCCAGTAAGCACCAGAAAATCATGGAGGGCAAAACCTAAGCCAAATTCCTGGTATAAACACCTCCAGGAAGCCTAAAAGATGCAAGTGTCCCGTTTTTCATGTGCAATAAATAAAAAGCAAGGTCTGGAGGCTCAAATAGGATCGTCCCCCGATCCCATGGGGTGCTGCAGGGTCTCCTGGGTAGAAGGTGAAATAGGGATGCAGGGGTAAAGCAGGCAGGGAGCATCACCTTTGCCAAAGCAGGAAGGAAGTGTTGATGGAGGGATTAAATATCGACCTGGGTTGATGTTTGCTGCCAGCAGGATCCATCCCCAGAGACCTGCCGTGCTGGAAATCAATGGGATTGATTTCCCAGGGTGGGGACCGAGGCAGAAGGTTCTGGTACCACCTGGGAAGCAAAGGCTGGAGAGGGGATTGATTCAGGGAGGAATTCAGGGAGTTTCTTGGGGGAAAAATTCCCTGAAAAAATCATTTGTCCCAAAGCAAAACATTTTATTTGACCTACGAACACAACCATAAAGTTGTTACATCTTTTATCCAAGCTCCCTTTCCTCTTTTGAACTTGGCTCAAGGTACTGAAAAAACCCTCCAGGAAACCAAAACACCCCCAGAAAAATACTTTTCATGGAGAAAACTAATTCAACTCTGCTGTTTGTCAGCCTGGGGACAGGAGGGGAAACTGAGGCCCATGGCTACTTCCTGGGGACAGCTCCATTTGTGGAGTGGAACTGCCCTCCAAAGGTGGGGGAAAGAAGAGAAACACAGATCCTTTGTGAGCTTAATTTGGGAGAAATGAGGGCTGCTGGCTCTTTTTGGGGTGGAGGAAGGGGTAAGTCAGACCCATTGGGGATAAAAGAAGGACATGCCTGAGGCTCCAGGCAGGGAGATGGATAAAGCCCCCGAAGCTGCTTGGGTATCCTGGAAATGGATCCTGGAGGTACTTTGCCTTGGGATCGCTGGAGAGAAGCTCCGGGAAGAGCTGGGGATGGTGGCACTGGGACAGCTGGGATTGGTGGCACTGGGACAGCTGGGGATGGTGGCACTGGGGGAGCTGGGGATGGTGGCACTGGGACAGCTGGGGATGTCCTCAGCCCATGCTGGCCAGAGTCAGCACAGAGGAGGAAGGCTCTGAAGGTCAACGTGGCAGACAGGAGCCCAGGGGAAAGGGCAGATGCCAACCAGGCAGTTTGGGCAGGCTCAGATTTCAGCCTGGTCCTGTCTCTCCTCTCCAACCCGCCGGGCTCAGGGGCGTCCAAACGCGCCGCCAGCTTGTGTCGGGTCACGGAGGGTTTGACCACAGTCCCAGAGGAGGGAAAACCATACCAGGTCGTTTGCTTCCCAGGGTCTGGAGTAGTTCCTTTTTTTTTGATGAGTCCACTAAATGCCTGTAAATTAGGGCAGGGAAAACACTCCCGGTCTCCTGGTGTCCCTTGGAAAGAAGGTGCTGGAGATGTGGGAAGTGGCTCTTGGTTTTGACCTTGGCAGGAAGCAATGGGAGCTATGGCAGGACAAAGGGCTGCATCTGTAAGGTCCTGCTGGTAAATTAATCCACATTAATTATTTGGGAAGGTCAATTAAACCTCATCAACCCCCGCCTGTGAAAACGGATCCATCACAGCCATCATTTGTTCGGGCTTGGATGTCTTTAGGGACTTTGCTGCTGCTGGCAGGTTCCCCAGGAATGGATGGATGGTGACCACTGGGATGGCACTGGAAATGCTGAAAAACGGGGCAGAAATCAGGATTAAAGCCCTTTACTCTGCAATTCAGTGTCCAACCTGTGGTCCCTTTCTGCTGGCCCAGGGTGCTGCCCGTGACCTTCTCCAGTGACAGCTCCCTCCTTCCCCATATTGACTCATCCCAATAGCCACGGGAGATACTGTTACAGGAGCATTTTGGGATGCTGACAACACATGCACATGCCTGTGGGGAGATGTACTGCAGGGCATGTGGCCTCCAGGGCACGGATCTGCCCGGGCTCCTCTTATCACCGGGTTCTTCTCCCATTCACTACCAGTTTTCTGGGAAAAAACCAAAACATATCTCATGGGATTAAACATGCTGGAGAGAGAGGTGGTCCAGGCATTGCAACCAGGTCCTTGGAAAGGGCTGGGAGACAGGATGGAGCAGATGCAGGTGATTGTCACCTTTGGGGAATGATGGGAGCATTCATCCTACTTGGCATCCTCAGGGATCGCTGTTGCTTCCACCCTCCCCTGTCCCTACCGGGGGCTGGATATGTCACTGGCAGAGCTGGTGTTCGTGCCATCCAGCCCGTGGGCAGCAAAGGGCAGCTGCCAGTGCCAGCCTTTGTGCCTTCACATGTCTTGGCTTCCTGTGTCCCCTCGGGGTCACCGTGGATGCAGCAGGGCTGGGATTGAGGGGGTGGATGTAGCCACAGGCCCCGCAGACACAGCAGGTTTTGTCCTGAGCATTCCGGGCAAAATGAGGGTGAAAAATGAACAAGAAAGGCTTTTGCATTCTAGAGGGAAAAGGAGGGAGAGCACGACAGCGGGGACAAGGCTCCATTCAGCCAGAGAGCCCCGTTTGTGTTGCTCCTTGTCCTGGAGACGAAGATGGGCGACGTGGCACATCCCTGGCTCCTGGCACATCCCTGGCTCCATGGTGGCAGCAGGAGGAGATTCCCCACCTTGACTTAGAGAGGGGTTTGCAACAGTTTGTAGGGTTTTCTAGCTCAGGAGCCTGTGGGGAGGTGGCTGGAAAGGAGGCTGAGCTTGTCCACATCAGTCTGCAGGGATAGAGGGGGTGCAGATGGAAAGGCACAGAGAAACCCCTGCAAGGCTGCAGCCTCTGGAGCCCTCTGGAACCCTATCACCCTTCCCTGCATCTTGTGTGGCTCCTCTCAGCCACAGTGGCCTCTCTGACCCGTTTAATCTCTTGCCACATCTGTGGGCAACCTCTCTCTGCCTGGCCACAGATCTGCAAAGCTCTGAGGGAAGGCAGGAGTCGCAGAGACGAGCAGCTGGGAAGTGTTTTGCCATCTGCCTGAGCGCTGTTAACCCTCTCCTTCCACAGCCACAGCCCCTCTGCTGAGGGCTCAAGGGAAGCAGGATGGGACCAGAGCTGATCTGAGTGTGGGAAAAGCAAAACCCTGAGGCCAGGACAGAGCAGGATCAGTGCTGGCTCCTCGTGTTCATCACAGAGTGTTCCTGAAGTTAGATTTGGGTTTGTACAGAGGTTGCAAATGTACAGGGTGTGAGCATGTGTGTGGTTTCCACTCACATCCCTGGGCAGTGGGAGCCTCAACCAGTGCTCTTTGTGGTCTGCTGGGAGGGGAAAAGCAGTTAAATGGGGGGAAGAGCAGCAGGGATCATGTCTGTGCCACTTCTGGACAGGTTTGTTCCGGTCCTTGGAGCAAGGACTGGAGTGTCCCCTTGTGATGGGCTGGAGGCATCACTTCACACCTCCTCCATCAGCTCAAGGTGCTTTTTAGGGAATGAGAGATCAGCCAGGTTGGCAGCTTCCAGGAGACTGTCACTGCCTCCTTCCCTGCAGGATCTGACCTGGGGTAGGTGCAGGAGAGGTCTGGATCCAAATCAAGTCATGAAGTCATTACATCTTTTATCCAAGCTCCCTTTCCTGTTTTAAGCTTGGCTCAAGGTACTGAAAAAACCCTCCAGGAAACCAAAACACCCCCAGAAAAATACTTTTCATGGAGAAAACTAATTCAACTCTGCTGTTTGTCAACCTGGGGACAGGAGGGGAAACTGAGGCCCATGGCTGCTTCCTGGGGACAGCTCCATTTGTGGAGTGGAGCTGCCCTCCAAAGGTGGGGGAAAGAAGAGAAACACAGATCCTTTGTGAGCTTAATTTGGGAGAAATGAGGGGTTCTGGCTCTTTTTGGGGTGGAGGAAGGGATAGGTGCTTGTGTGGGAGAAAGGGCCTGGCCAGGCTGTCCCACAGCACGGTGGCACCAGGTCAGAGCTGAGAGGGCTGGGATTGCTCCTTTCCACCTAAAATCATAGTGAGATTTGTGTCAGGGCTCCTCCTTTCCAACCTTTTCTCCTGGTCCCTGAGCTCCCGCCCTGGATCCATCTCCCTGTGACCCCCGTTTCCGCAGCTTCCCGTAACAGGGCACAGCACTGGGATCTGAGCAGCCTCTCTTATGGGAAGGGAGGAAATGCATATTCCTTTGATTCCTGAGTGATGGGCTCGCTCAGGGATCGGGTGTCAGCTGGGTCCAGGGCTGTCCCCACACACAAAAGGGCCCTTGTCCCTCCTCACGCAGACACTGCCAGACTGTCTGTGTCTGCAGAGACTCTTTCAAGTCCATTTTTCTCCTCTCAGCTGATCATTCCCATGCAGAAACCAGCTGGAATGCTGGAGAAGCAGGTCTTGAGGCCAGCAAGCAGGACCTGGGAGATGGTCACCATCAGCCCAATACTAACCCCGTTAAAACCATCCTCACCAATAACAGCCAGCCCAGGCAGAGCCCCTGTGGTGGTGAACACACTCCCTTTGGCAAGGTTGGATTACAGATGTGGGGATGTTTCCTCTGCCAGAAGGAGCTGAGGACCTCTGAAATCAGGACCAGTCCCAGGGATTGCTCCTGGAAAAGCACAGCTCCACTTTCTTGCCCTCTCTGCCTGGGGTTTAGTAGGACCCAATTTTCGTGGTGCTCAGCTGAGTCACTCCTCATGGCTGGTTAAACACAGAATGGAGCATCTTTCCTGCTCTGGGATACAGGAATCCAAATTTCTGTGGGAACCTAGTTGGAAAGGTAGACTGGGACATTGAACTGGGCCTGGGATTTGTTGGTGCACCTTAGTTCTACTTCTGTGCTCCAGATGCAAACGAGGTTAAATAAAGCTCCCTTTTATCTGTTTGACCATCAATCCTCTGTGGCAGGGACCACCTCAGCTGTGTCAGCACCCAATACCGTGGTCTCTGTGGGCGGGTGATGAGCTGGCAGGAGGCACACAGGGCCAATCTGGAGTCATTGTCACCTGCAGAGATGGCACTGCCAGCTGTACTTGTGGGTTACCTGGGGACAGCACCAGCCAAGCATTGATGGCAACCTTGGTGGGAGGAGAAGGGAAGGGTGTAGGAACGGTAATAATGACCTCCTGGACAGCACTGTGGCACTGGGGTGTTCTCATCTAACCCACCTCGCCCAGGGATGAATCCTTGCTCCATGTCCTTACAGCCTCTTTGCTTTCCCCTCCAGGGCAATGGCGAACCTCACAATCCCTCCAGACTGGACCAGAGTCACCAACAGCTCCTTGGACCCAGGTGGCACAGATGACAACCCCTACAAGTGCATATTTGATGAGGACTTCAAGTACGTCCTGCTGCCCGTCTCCTACGGCATCGTGTGCGTGGTGGGGCTCTTCCTCAACCTGCTGGCCCTCTACGCCTTCATCTTCAGGATCAAGACCTGGAATGCCTCCACCACCTACATGTTCAACCTGGCCATCTCAGACACGCTCTACGTGGTGTCACTGCCCCTCCTGGTGTACTACTACGCCATGGGGGACAACTGGCCCTTCAGCGTGGGCCTGTGTAAGATAGTCCGCTTCCTGTTCTACACCAACCTCTACTGCAGCATCCTCTTCCTGCTCTGCATCAGCGTCCACCGCTTCCTGGGCATCTGCTTCCCGCTGCGCTCACTGCAGTGGGGGCACGTCCGGCACGCCCGGCGCGTGTCGGCGGCCGTGTGGGCGGTGACCGTGGCCTGCCAGTCGCCCGTGCTCTTCTTCGTCACCACCAGCACCAAGGGCGACACCATCACCTGCCACGACACCTCCAGCAAGGAGCTCTTCGGCCAGTTCGTCATCTACAGCTCGGTGATGCTGGTGCTGCTCTTCTGCATCCCCTTCCTCACCATCATCGTGTGCTACTGCCTGATGGCGCGGCGGCTGCTCCAGCCCACGCGCGGCATCTCCCGCCTCTCCCGCTCCAAGAAGAAGTCGGTCAAGATGATCATCATCGTCCTGGTGGTCTTCATCGTCTGCTTCCTCCCTTTCCATGTCACTCGGACCCTGTACTACTCCTTCCGGAGCTGGGACCTGAGCTGCCAGACCCTCAACGCCATCAACCTCGCCTACAAGGTGACCCGGCCCCTGGCCAGCACCAACAGCTGCCTGGACCCCATCCTGTACTTCTTGGCGGGGCAGCGCTTCATGAAGTTCAGGGGGAACAACGTGCTGGGGAAGCCCCACAATGAGGTGGCGCTGGGCATCGTGCCCAACAGCCACCTGGGAACCAGCAACGACACAGACACGTTATCCAAGGATCTGAAATCCTAGAAAGCCTGGCTATGCTCCAGCAGCAGAAGGGTTTATCCCAGGGGTGGAGGGAGCTCAGGATGCTCTGAGGCCTTAGGCTTTGGGTGTTTGTGGTGCCTGGCAGAGCACCTGCTCCAGCGTGGACCGCATTCAACGTGCTCCTCTGCTTGTTGCTGTTCCAAATGTATATTTTTCAGGAAGATGAAGCTGTGGTTCCACACACAAACCCTGGACCTCTGCCCCTTCATCCAAACCTGCCCCTCTGTTGGGGCATCTCCCCACCCGTGAGGCTGGGTGACCGAATCTGCTAAAAAAATCACGCCCTGAATGCCTTAAAGCATTTTTTTTAAAGTAAAAACGCTGTGTGGGAAAGGCCCCCCCGAGGAATTCCACCTGCCTGTCTCCAGATCTCCTGGCACAGAGGCAACAGGAGTTTCTCTGTGCCTTGGCAAGGGAGGAAAGGCTTTGGGTCCATGAGGAGCTGTGGTTCTGCTAAAGAGGTTCATGAAAATGTCAGGTGCAAATATCACTGGGAGCGGGAAAGAGTCTCACAGGGCTTTGCATCCCTGAAGAAATGCTCTCCCAGCTTCAAGCCCAGGCACCTGCTGGCAAAGCTGAGAGGGGACTCCTAGTTCCTGTCCAAGGGCTGGCTTCCCATGAACAAGGGTGCTGATTGACCTTCCACCCCACTGGAATTCGCTGGCACCATCAAGCAGATCCCTTGTAGGTTTGTCCGGTGGGACCAACATCTTCCAAAAAACCCATTAGCACTTCCCAACAGCAATGTTCGTCCTTTAAAAGCTTTTAGGAACCTTTTGGACCTTCCTTCCACCTGCTGACTTTAATAATCACCTCCAGCTCATTAAAATTTAAGGTGGGCTCTTCATGGCTTGTTTTTAACCCCCTCACTGGTGGCTCATGTTTCCAGCCAAGGGACAAAGCCCAGTGTTCATCCCCTTGGTGCTGCCACTTCCTCATTGCTGCTCAGAGGTGACCTTTAGCAGCTTGGCATGACCCAAAATGCTGCCCAGATGCTGCTGTCTGGTCTCCCCATAATCCCAGTATTCCCAGTGCTCCGCTGGAACCGGTCAACATATCCCTTACAGACAAGGTAGACCTTCCCTAGGAACTTTGACAGTGCTAAAGCCTGGCTTGAGGAGCCACACCGGTAAGCGTGGTGCTAAGCTTAACCCAAATCCTGTCTGGATTTGGCCTTGCATATCCCTCATCAACCAGGACAGTTCAAAGGAAGAAAACCTCCACAAAACACTTCACCAGGAGGTCCACTTGGTCTTCCCCTCAGTAATTGTTGGGTCAGAGAGCCAAGAGCCCCAGTCCGTGGTTTCCTTGCCGCGAGGGTGCTGATTCCTCACCCCAAAAATGAAAATTGCTTCGTGCCGCAGCACTGGACGAGTCACATTTTGTAAAAGCTCTATTTTGGGATTAGACAAACACGTTTGATGTTGGTTTAGACCAAAACCTCGGAGCACTCCTCAGCTTCTCCCATTCCCCTTTCTTGTGAAGTGGTTTGGTGGAGGCAAAGGCACATCGCGGTTCTGTGGGATTGGGGTGACTGGGACGGGTCAGGGTTAACTGGGAGGTTCCTGCGGTCCCACCTCAGCAGAGTCACAGTCCCATGGAGGGGTCTCATCCCACCCAGCACTGCCACAACCACAGGAGGCAAAGGAGGGCTCTGTGTCACCTCTGAGAACCATCAGCAAAGGCAAATGGGACATTTTTAGGGTGGTTCACCCCACACTTGAGTGTCCTTCAGGCTCAGATTGGGTTAAGACACAACTTGCACCGTGGCAGCACCTTTTTTCCCTGGGGCCTATGGAGGGAACTTGGCTTTGTGGGGAGGTCGTGGCGCGGTCGCCAGGGCGAGACAAATCGCTGGGAGAAATGAGGAGAAACGAATTCAAGGGGAGCACTGAACTGGGACAAACATTACTGCAGGCCAGGTCTGGCCTGGGCTCCTGCACTCGCCCAAAAGCAGCGCCAGCACAGAGTTCTGTACTCGGAATAATTCAACAAAAACCTGCTCAGAACTCCAAAAATGGGCCCAAAGTTCCTGCAGGCCCACTTGGAGACCCCATGTTTTGATGCCCAGCTGGCATCAAACCACCCCCCTCGGGCAACACAGCCAGTCCCATCAGGGATGTCCTCTGTCATCCTGATCCTGATCCCCAAGTGCCACTGAGCAGTTGGAGAGGTACCAACTGGAAATCTGTACCTAGAAACATTTTTTTGTTGTTTGTTTGTAAAAGCACTAACTTATACTAAAAAAAAAAGAAAAAAGGTGAGTTTTATGACAATGTGACTGTACATTTTTATTTTTGTAACATGCAAACACCTCGGATTTCTGATAGTAAATGAGTTTATTTCTATGAGCACTCTCCTGATGTCTCCTCTGATGACTGCAGAGATGTTTTGCTCCATGTGCTGAAACCCCTTGTTCTCTAAGGTTCCTCACCTTCCCCTGCAGACACTAGGAGGAAGTTTCCTGACCTCACCACTGTCCCCATGAATAAACACATTTTGTTTCCCATTGCAGTTTATCTTGGTCCCCAGCCTGGGACAAGGCTCAGGACACGCTCAGCATCATCAATGAATTTATTGCAAACTGGGATTAATCACCTTGGAATCTGCTCAGCAATGATCTGAGCAGCTTGAACAGGAACTTCTGTGTGATATGGATGATCTCTGGAATTGTAATTTTATAGAAACCCACTACTTTGTGCATCCCTGGAAGTGTCCAAGGCCAGGTTGGAGCAACCTGGGCTAGTGGAAGGTGTCCCTGCCCGTGGCAGGGGGTGGAACGAGATGAGCTTTAAGGTCTCTCCCAGTCCAAACCCCCCTGGGATTCCATGACTCTGTGATCCTATGAATTCCTTCATTTTCATCCCAAAGTCCATTTCTCCAGCCTTCAAATCAGTTTAGACTTGATGTCCCACTGCCCCTGTGGGGTGGGACAGAAGCACTTCACAGTCTCCTGCCCCGGGGGAGAAAGTTCAGCTCCGCTTTCTCTCTTCAAGAGCTTTCTAGTTGCCAAAACAAAAAGCCTCACAAGCACAAAGACAAAGAAACGACCGCAAACCCCAAAATTACTAAATTAGAGGTCGCAGAACGGACCTTCTGAAAACCCCCTCTTGATTTTCAGCCCGGATCTGGCGTGAATTCCACGGGGATGACGTGAGCAGGTTTAGCTCGTGGGATTTACGGCATCACATCCCAATCTCCCCTGCGCTGACTCGTGTGAGTCACTCACAGCCAAGAATGAGAATTAAGGAAGAAAAATATCCATTGTCAGGGAACAGACACCCAAGTCCAAACCACTTCTTGGGAGCATCACGCAGCACCAGGAGCAGGAAGGGAAAGTTAAGAGCACTGATGGTTCCCTGCCAAGACAATAAATCTGCCACATGGGCTGGAGGGATGACACTCCTCCTAGGCCTTCCCAGCATCCCAGAGGAGAGCTTTTCCTTCCTCATCATGCCTTTTAGGAAGCAGATCCTTAATCAGAGTGAGGCAGGCAGCAGGCCATGTGTTACTGTTAAACACCGGGTGCATCTACTTATTTTTTGAGTCCTGGCTCCATTTTAATTCTGATTTTCCTTCTTGGAGCTTGGTTTTCCAAGGAACAAGTCTGCCTGCCCCTTTGAGTCATTTCTGATCTGCCTGACCAGTTTAATAGAGGGGCAAAGTCTCCACCCTGTTGAGCTCCTACGAGTTTCATGGGAAAAAAACTTGTGATAGGAAGGAGAAGGAGCCAAAGGAGCCCCCACCCAAGAGCTCAAACTTTATATTAGACACCAGAGAAACCTCCCTCATTTCCCTCATGCCTGTGGTGGCTTGGGAAGGTGTCCATCAGTGCTGAGTGAGGGAAGGTGACAAATGGTGGCTCAGAGCCATCCAGGAGACCAACGTTGTGTTCAAACAGAGGGAGGAGATTCCCAAATCCCACAGACTAATATTACTGCAGAAATTCCCCAAAATGGATGGGCCAAGGCAGCAATTTCTGAGGAGGAAACCACAGCAGTGGGTGCTTGAAATAACACGTCAATCACCCGGCTTTGTGAGGAGTTTATTTTTAAGGCTTTCACCGGTTCAATACCAATATTTGCAGGCTCCTTGACAAATAAATGCTCAGGAAAGCCTGGAAGTTTAAAATACCCTCTTTTCTTGTTTATTTAAAATTTCTCCTCAAATACCTGCAGGTTTAAGCCCTGTCTAAGCACCAACATCTTGGAGTGTGTTTTGGGGAGCAGCTGGACTGTCACACTGAATCCCATCTTGACTGGGTGATCCCACACATATTGCAGCCCCATTTGATGGGAGAGCGGGAAATTCCCCCACCAATTCCTGCTCCTCTGCTTTTGCCACTCACTGTGGAAAGGCAACATGTGACAACCCCATTTCCAGCCCCTTCCAAATCCTGGGGGAGCCCTGAGATGCCTTCAAACCACTGAGCTTGGGAAAAAAGGGATGAGGGGTTCTCAGCTGAGATCCCACCCGGAGGGATGAGCACTGGGAGACCTTGGAAGGCAGTGGAAGGTGCATGGAAGACCCTGATCCCAGCAGTGCAAAACCCATCCTGTGCTGATTTTTAATTGGGAACCAGTTCAGCTGAAGAGGTTGAACCTGCTGCAGGAGAGTCCTCTGCTGGTGCTGAGGGGATGTGGCAGCAAGGGGTCAATCCAGAGGGAAAATGGATCCCATGGGAGCGCTAAAATTCCCTAGGAAGACTCTGGGAGCACACCAAGGGATGGGAGAAGAGTCCCAGGAGAGCAGTGGGAGGACTGGGGTCCCTGTCCTTTCCACTCCTACCCAGGCACACCCAGTCACTCAAGGCAGGATCCTGATTTTCATCCATGGGGCTTTGCAGGGAATTGGGAAATTTTCTCTTTGCTCTGAAGTTTCCCTTTTGTGGCCTCTCCTCCTGTGCCCTGTGGTTTTCATGGCAGGGAGCCTGGTCACCATCAGCTCATCCCCCACCCTCCCACCCGCTGCTCCAGCTCCTTCCCTTTCCCTGCAGAAAGGTCGGATGCTCATTTAACAGCATTCCATCCTTTTTCTCAGCTGGGTTGGAAACTGGCTGGACACCGCTGGGAGAGGAGCCCAAGTGTTTGGATGGAGGTGGATTCCATTCGGGAAGGACCTTGGCAGGTGCCCTTCCCAACAGGGTTTCCCACCAGGTCTGCGTTTGGAAACGGGTTTATTGTGGAAGGATGGCCCTGGTCAGGGGGTTCCTGGAGGCTGTGATGCTCTGCAGAGCTCCAGCCAGGGCAGAAAGGCTGCCAGAAGGGGAAGGTGCTCTGGGGATGCCACGCTGGGTTGGCAGAGCTTCTGGTCCTCCTCCGGCAAAGGGTTGGATAAGCTCAGCTTCGGGCCAGGAGGAAGGGACACTGCTGTGGTTTCAGAGAGCAGTTGGACACCCCAGAGCCTCCTCCTCCAGTGCAGGAGCTGTGGCCATGAGGAGAAGATGTGTTTCCTGTGGTCCTGGTCTCCAGCGGTACGTGCCCCACCTGAGCAGATCTGGAAGCTTCCGGGGGGGGATACAGGAGACAGGATCTAGGAAAGAGATCCAACCCGTGCTCAGAACAGGCTCCCAGCTCAGATCACCGTGGACACAACTCCAGGACACACATCTCAAAGATGTCCTTGGCTGCGTGGCCCAGAAGGGCCTTCTCCTCTGCTCTGGCCATCAGGAAAGTCCATCTGGCCAGCTGGGAGTTGCCAAGTGACACCAACTGTCCCCAAAGAGCTCCTGCAGCCCCGCGCTCAGCAAGATGCCGCTGCTCCGATGTCTCCCCCTCCCACATCCTCCACGGATGAGCTCACGGGGCTGGCACTCAAAATAACCCAGCGGGGGCAGCAGTGGGTGGGCAGCGCTGGCACTGCACACGTCAGCCTTCCCAAATCCATCTGCACACCGCGGCATCCCAGAAACCACGGGGCTTGGCCAGGGAAGCATCCGAAGCCCTGGAACAGCTCCCCATCTGCTCCTCCTGTGGGCTCCTGGCTGGGTGGTCTGGGCTCGGGGACCCCTCTGTGTCCAGCTCCTGGGGGGATGCTCCAGGTGTGGGAGCAACGGCAGTGCTGGGAGGGTGGGATTTCTGGGATCGAGCAGCATCTCTGTGGATGATGCCTCCAGGCAGGGCTGTGGGTAGCAGTGAGTGCCCGTGTCCCATGATGCCGGTTCCGTCTGGTGATTAACACCCCGCTGTCCTGAGCTTCATCCCGACTTTCTGAGGTCATTTCCTCGAAATCCATCATTCCATTCCCAGATGTTGCAACCCACCCCTGCATTTCAGCTCCTGGCTGGTGAGACAAGGCTCTTATCACAGCAGCACAAGGCCTGCAGGAAGAGCAACGCTTCCCAACAACCCCTTGAAGCATCAAAATCCTCCCCGTCTCCAAAATGCTCCCATTTCTTGCCCCAGTCAGCAAAGAACTCCCGAATTCTGGTTGAAATGGAATGTCAAGTTCGCTTTGGAGCAGCTGTTCTTCCTCCTGGTTGCCCGTAGGTGGAGGAAGAGAGCTTCACCCCTTCGGGTTCCCTCCTTCAGCCTCTGGCTTCAGGAGGTCACCCGGTGTTTTGGGGGTCTCCTCCTCCCTCCCTTGTCCCATCAGACCCTTGGTTTGGGGGGTTAATGCCTGTCCCAGGGAAGCTGTTGGTCGTGGCCTGCACAAGACCCTATTACCCAAAGCAAAACCCCAGGACAGAGATGGTCCCTCCAGCATCACAGGGACCCCCTGGACCACATCCAGCCATTTGGGCATCCCAAAAAAAGAGCTACTTTGGGGGAGTCCCAATCCAAGCCATGCCAGTGATGCTGCAGTGATTAACTTGGGCACTCGCAGCCCAGGGCTATGGATCCAACGATTTCCAAGGAGGAGGAGTCATTCCAGGTGAGCACCACAGGGGGGATGGGGAGAAAGATTTACCCCCAAAGAGTTGTTCTGCTGCTCAGAGATTGATCTTAGTTGAGGCTGGAGGTATTTTGGAAGGGAATACAAATGTTGGGAATGGTTGGAGAGGGCTTGGAGCAACCTGGGACAATGGGAGATGTCCCTGCCCATGGCAGGGGTGGGACTGGATGAGCTTTAAGATCCTTCCCAACCCAAACCATCCTATGATTCCGTGGTTTCTGTGAACAACTCAACTCCCAGAACATGTCATAATCTTGGGAGATTTTTATTCTTTTCATACAAAATGAAGCCAAAGAACTTTTATCCCAAAGTTCAGAATTATCCTCCTTCCCCCTTTTCTGATACTTTTCACTTCAAACCCACGTATTTTTAACCAAAAAAACCCTCCACTCATTCATTTTATTTTTTCTTTTTTTAAGCAAGAAACCCAAAACAAGGCAAGGGTTAAAATAAACCG